TGGGGCACCCCCACCGGCCCCTCACAAAACCGTGTGCGGCGCATGGCCAGCACTGGAAAAGCCATTCCCCACGCCGCAGCACTCTGGGACGTCTGTCACAAACTAAGGGAGGAGCGAAACCTGCCCAGCCCTGAGTCCAAAGCCCTGGCTGATCTCCCTTTCTGACTCTTTAAAATGTTTCACTGCTGCCCAGCCGGTATTGCTCAGTAGATTGAGCACCAAGAGGTCACCGTTCAATTCCCGAGCAGGGCACATGCACCGGTTGTGGGCTTTGTCCCCAGTAGGGGGCGTCTGGGAGGCAGCCGATCGATGTTTCTCATCAATGTTTCTCTCTTCCACTCTCTCTCTAAAAAAAAATAAAAACAGGTATTTAAAAATAAAATATTTCATTGCTGAAATAATCACATGACTTTGATCAGAGGGTGCTGCTCAGACCCTGTGGGTCTGACACAGCGCACACATACACGCCTTGTTTCTAAAGTCGGGGAAATTCTCAAACACCCCTGGCCCAAGAGCTTCGGATGAAGGACCCAGGGTTCGTGTTGTGCTGCCCAATTTACAGAGGGGACTGACTCAGAGCAGAAGGGTCACTTGCCAAGGTCACAGGCAGACAATGAACCAGGCAAAACCATGCTAACCAGGAGCCTGGCCTGGGCCACATTTTACACCCAGAGCTCACTCTCCCCTCCACCGCCTTGGAGATCACGAAGGAGGCATTCCTATTTACAGATGAGAAAGCGGAGACTGGGAGAGCAGGCCCACAGGGACTGCCCCGGTCTGTCTGAACCCAGGATCTGTGCCCTGAGCTGTACAGCTCTCCTGCCTGATCAGCGGAGGGAGCAGAGGGAGGAAAGTCACCCACCCCTCTCCCACGTACCATGGGGCACAGGCAGACTCGGGCCAGTGTCATGGTGAAGGTTGCCATGGTGACAGGGTGGAAGTCCAGGATCTTGGGGTAGATGTCCAGTGGGGACAGCGTCTGTGGTGGGGACGACAGGAGGGATCTTAGCAGGACTGGGCAGAACCAGGAGCCCCCAAGGGGAGGGCTGGACAGAGAAGGTCCTCACCCCAGATGTGATGATGACAGACTGGAAGCGCTCGAAGACGGGTTTGATGGCCAGCGAGGCGTCCATGCAGCTGTGGGAAGCAGACGAGGGTGGTGAAGGCCAGGCCAGGGGGCTGAGGCCCCCCAGTCCATTCACACCCCTGCTGGGCTTAGGGCTCACCTGAAGTGCAGGATGGGGTTGGCAATGGTTGGGGTCCTGTCGTCAAAGGGCTCGATGATGATGGTGAAACCTACGGGAGGCCGGTGAGAATGCTGGGTGCCAGTGACCATGCCCCTCACCAGTCCCCACCCCCTTAGTGAACGGGACCAGCCACCTACAGCCCAAGCCTAAAACCCAGGCACCTGAGTCCAAAATACACCCAGCCGGCCCGGTGTGCTCAGAACCAGCACCTGCACAGCGTTCAGGGAGGTCCTCCTCCTCAGGCTCCTCAGGGCCAGGAGAGCCCGCCCTGCCCCTCCAGCCTGCCCCTCGCCTCTCCGTCAGTGGTTCGCAACCTTGGCTGCACATTAGAATCACCTGGGAATCTTTTTAATACCCTGATTTCTGGGCCTCATCCTCCGGAAATTCTGTACCTTTGTTGCTCTGGCCCTGCCCGCTCCCGTCTCCAGGTACAGGGATTTTGGGAGGACCTGGCCATGGACCATGACTACCCAAGTGTCATGCCTGAATCGGTAAAACCCAGAAGAGT